AGCAAAAAAAAAAATCCCGTCAAATTAATTGCTAATTAACATTCATAAAGCATTTTTGTTCTGTTTCTTTTTTTTTTTTTTTTTTTCTAAATTGTCCTTTTTGATCGGCAAAACAGAAACAAATATTTACAGAAGAAAACATAATGACAAAAGAAGAAATCTCTCAAGAGACTGTATCACATAAATTTAGATAACACAACGAACAGAAAAAAAATAAATAACAAATAAAGCATAAGCAATAAAACATCCAAAACACATAATCAAAACACTCTTCCATTATTCATTTAATTAACAGAAGCATATAAATTCAAAAGCACAGACACAGACACAGAACACACACACACACACACACACACACACACACACACACACATTCATTCACTCACCACAGACATACATCCACTCACCCATAGGTGAACATAAAAACAAAAAAAACAAAAAATATTCAGGCTCAAATTTACAAATAGGTAGCAAATTCATAGACCCATGTTCTGTTATATTGTAAAAATAAAATGAATTCCGTATCATAAACTCCTTTTCCTTTCCTTCTCCCATTTCTTCACAGAACAATGTCATGCTGAACTAGATTCATATGATTCCACACAAAGCCTGTAGAACACCAAATTATACTCATCAAAACTTCGTCCTCTTTGTGCATCATTCATATTACAGGATTCTGTGGTAAAGCCGATACGAAAACGATACATTACGTATATATAGTTACCAACGGGTAGTTCAAATACTTCTTCCGATAACTGAAGAGAATATACTTGTTATATACGCAAAAAAAAATTCCGTTTTCTTTATAATTTTAATCTGTGTGTCATTTGTCTACATTTAAGATTTTATGAGAATATTATAACGTCACAAGTATAATACAAATTCTAAACCTTTCTGGAAACTGGCTCCTCAGTTATCTCCGATAACAAAAAGCTATCATTGAAACTGCAGAGTCGTGGAAATCTTGCACCACAATTTCCAATGTGACTTCCTCTATCAGCAACACTGAAATATCATATTTTACTCGCCCTTTAGCTCGGTTGTATTAAATTACTTCGAAATAGCAACCAAGATGATGCAAACAGTATCATGATTACATCTTTACTCCGAATGGTACCAAAAATACTCACTCAATTTTAACTTCCAATGGTATTGTAGGAAGATAGGGTGAAATTGGAACAAATAATGTATAGATCCCAAGTCTCGGGTTGCAACTTGTTTTGGAACAATAACGCTCATCTATTGTTACATTTAACGTCAAAACTTCTATATTAACACCAGATGCCAGTGGAAATTGTGACATTAAAGAGCTTTGTCGGTAACTGCGATTCGGAAGCAAAAGCGAACGCTGAGCGTTTAAAGACGTTTGAAGCGTGGAACCATTAACCTAAAACAACAAAATTTGCTTTAATTCTGTATTGACAATAAAAAACAAAACTCTGTAGCTGTTTAACAACACACCATATTATAAGCAAAGCTCATTATACCCTGTCGTCCATTAATAACCTTAGCAAACATGGGAAAAGCCGTTTCAACACAACTCACGAAGCCAGTCTTCAAACTTTCAAATCACCAACCTCTGCATCGGCCTTCTCAATATTTGAACAACAATAAGTTCGACAGTGCTGATGACCACAGCAAGCCGTTAACGGTGGCCCATTTTCATATCTTGGTGGTTCAAAAGCTTTATTCCCTATAACATTTCCCATCCAGCCCTCGTCAGCAGCAGTTGATGAACCATTTTCCGAGTTTGGAACTGGTGTTGTGAACAATAAATTTGAAGGATATCGATGTGACCCAAGCGTTCGTCTGTGCCAGTCAAGAACATATAATGTTGACATTGCTATTAGACTGAAATACCTTTTTTCACATCCACACCATAATTCATCGACAAGATGAAAGGAAACTAGCCAAACCAAAAACTTCTTATAATATTACTAAAGGGCAACGAATCAAGATGCACTTTTGCCGTGCACCGGTGTCAAGCATTACCACTGCGGCTGACATGTATGCAAATTTATTATTGTTTTTTTTACACGGTTACTTGATAGAGATAAAGTTGAAAATTCACCAAATTGTCATGACGACTACGAGGATTATTGTTGTTAGCTGAGTGACCTTGGCGCTACACATTGGTGGTTCGGATCGGTGGCACGATGGATTACGGCAGTGATAATGTTTCGTTTTTTCCGGTTTTAAACGTTCACTAAAAATTTCTTGTAATAAAAGAACAATTAGGATTTTTTCATTTAATTCGAGCGTATCCACCTAGATGCTTATTGAGAAATTCAAAAAGACACAAATTTTTTTAAAATTTAATTTAAATTTATTAGGCAATGGCTTTAAATGACAACTAAAGCTCATGCTAAAATTAACACTTCTGCTATGTGGGCAGAAGGTAATTAAGACTCTTTATGCATTACTGCTATTTTAAAACATCTTACCACTTTGAAGGAACGGTAAAGCAGTAAAATTAGAATAAGCAATTCTTAGACAAACTAAACACACAGACACGCACCGTTTTATTGTGCTATTACGTGAAACACAAGATGGAGTACTGGATCCGATAGAGAGCCGTGACACAGTATCACTTTTATCCGAAATCCCAAATTCAGTGAGACCACTGGCAATGCTTCCAGCATCTTTGTACCGTTGCTTGTGCAGTCTAGCTAGCTTATGAGACAACTTTTCAACAGCAGTAAGCTTGTTTTCTAATGAACCCGTAAGCTTACTCAACTCTGTAGCCGCAGCAACTGTTTCATAAAAAATCCTTGAGTCATCAACCTAAAAACAGTCAATTATCACCAGATGTAATCAAAATCAAATGAAAATAGAATGCAAAAAAAAGACGTAAACTGAAGTAAAATTCAGACCTTTGAACCGCATATAAGTCATTTATTTTTAAATTTTAACCTGAAGATAATCGCCATTATCAGTTACTGCGTCAGGCAATATGTTAGCCAATTCCTGAGCTATAACGCCGACACGATGCCTATTCTCTTCTGTGAGTCCCCATTCACTAGCTATTTCTGGCTTATAAGCATACTCAACGACACGAATTTTCTCCAGTCTCGAAAGTGCACTTTTGGTGTCAATCTGCAACGCACCTCCTTACAATTCTCCAAAAGAAAAAAAAATTTATCACCAGGAAACTTCTAAATGTATGCAAACTTCGTGAATGTCCTCCTTTACTCGACGGTCAGATGGGCGATGTAAAACCCCAGCGTAATAAATGTCGCCTCCAACTGACAGTGGTCCTGGGCCCAACGCCTTATCTAATCCAATAGCAACATATCCATTGTTGTAGTAGAGCGTGGACCCATTTTTTTGCCATGTTCCTTCGGTATCTGGAGACTCAAACTGCCCCGGATTCGAGGCCTTTAATATAAACGATAGTGGATTTATAATTCTCGCCGTTTATTTACATGAAGACAAATGAAAATTAATTTACCCTGACGATGACTTTTTCTGACTGGAACGCTTGAACAATAACTTCTTCACATGCGTCGGTACGAGCTACAAGCTTCACAATCAGCAAAAAATATTTCTGATCAGGGTTTGATCGACCATTTTTTCGCTGATTGTTCATTGTAGTTTTTTCAAAGTGAAGCCGAGATACGGTAGCTTTTGTCGGTCTTCGATCTTGAAAAGTGATTCTAAAAATTAATCCACTAATTAGACCAAAACGCAGCAGCTTTGATTAGTCTTAAAAAGTTTTTCAAAATTAATATGAATGATGCTAAATTCACATTACGAGTTCGTGAAAGATTCCTAAAGAGAAACTATTTGTAAAACAAAAGATTTTTTCAAAGAATAAATTATTTGAAAATAAATTTTACTCACACAACAGGTTCAAGTTTTGCTGGTTTCCTATCCGTTGTAGACTGCTTAATATCAATTTCTGATGTAGGCATCTCACTTTTCACTCCTCGAAGAATCAAATTGAATTCACGAATCGGTAAAAGGCGATCTCCTGTTTTAACAAACCAAGGTGCATGTACTTCTATAGGTTCAATGTGAGCAGTTATCTGTAAATTTCGTTCCGCTTAGCGGTATAGTGATAATTATTCACTGCACTTAGACAACTGTTAGAAAATAAGCAAACTCTATCATAGAAATAATAAATTTCAATACGAGTGATTAAATAATTTTGAGAATTCAAGGTAAAACTATTTGAAAAATCTGGTTAATGCTGAACAATACCTGAAAATGATTCTTCTTTTGGTTAACAAAACAATTTTCGGTATTACTGTAATTGAACCCTTTATCAGCCACAACATGCATTTCAAGTTGCGGAACAAGTTGCTGATTGCAGTCGTAAACTGTAGCCCAGCGATCTTCCATGTAGTGAGTGAACCTTATAGCTCTTTGATGGAAACCATCTTCAAACTCATCGCCAGCTACTGGCGAAGGCATTACTGACAGCTGCGAAGGTAACGAAAATATCTTTTGTGGTTCGTCTTTGACCATTGGCACATCACTGTTAACCCTAATTCGTTTTCGTCCCCGTTGGCCTTCCAGAGTTCCATCATTTGGGACTGGGTTTATTACGCCCCCATACGTATTTCCTTGATAACCATTGTTTTGGAACATGAATTCATTAGTACTGCTACGCAGAGCAGCAGGAGAAAGAGGAATCTGTAAAAACTGCCTGTCCATCTTGAAATATTTCTAGCAAAGTCAAGCTGGAATGCCAAAAACGATTAAACGTTAAACTACCTTTCTGAACTCATTACCTGTGGTAGAGGAGCTGTTTGCAGAGCTTGTGAGGTATAAGCATTGTTCCTAAAGTCGTTTTCACTAGCTAACATTGTCTGTTGTTGCATCAATCGACCATTTTGATTTCTTTGTTTTTGACCGTTCATGTCATTTCGGTTTACCATTTGAGAGGTCAGACTCGAGTTTATCCCAAGTATTAAACCATTATTATCCGGGTGATTTACTGTAATTCCTATAAAAAATAAGATTACGAAGAAATTGATTTTACAAAGTAATGAACACTTTTCTTGAACTGAAGGCAATGATTCAACTCATACCTTGTCTATTTGGATAATTCTGATAGGCTTCTGGAGAAAACGGAGAATCTGAATTGGAACTAGGTGAGCCTGAAGAGCCAGCGGCGCTTACATCTGTGATTGGTGGACTATACGGTAATCTGAAAAAAAAAAATAATTGAAGTGGAGAAACAACAATTTCAGCTATTATTTACTTTCATGACAATCACAAGTTTACCGTGCTGGATTCTGGTATACCAGTTCCATCCTCCCATCGAACATGCCGGCCGCGTTCCGACTCTGATTCCGCTGTGAAGGAAACTGGCCCTGGTCAGCAAAGTTGTCCCCAAGAAAGCTAAAGCAATCTTTGATTGCAAGCAGTAGCACTGACAGTAGCAATGAGAAAAATATTAATCGTCATGTTTATAGTTCATTCGGCTAAGTGTAACGGTGAAACAATCACAAAAAATATGTTCGTTTCAGGAAAAAAAAACCACGGAAAAAATGGAGGAATCAACAACTGTTTAACCATAAATCACTGACTCGTTTTCTCCAATAAATCGGATGATATCAAATTCAGCTGGACAATCGCTAAGAGGATCGCAAAAAGTGGGGTCCTCTGTAAAGTAAAATTTAATCAAATATTACCAGGCAGCTGAAAGTAGTAACCAAATTAATTGTCTTTAATAAAGTTTGGAAAAATAAAAAACAAAAAAAAAATTTCCACGATTATTTTCAAAAATAATTTGCACTAATTGGTACGTAGCCGTTACGAAGTAAATTTTCAGTTAAAAAAACGAGAAGATTGCAACAGATAAGTGGGAAAAAAAGAGCTGAAATTTCTGATGGATAACATACAAAAGGCAACAGCCGATGATGATAATACATACGAAGAAAAAGACTATACAAATAAAAAAAAAGTTTCGTCCTTTGTATGCTTCCTTTTCTTTCCGAGAAAAAAAAATCCGCTCTCCTTTCCTAAAAATAGAAGAAAGAGGAAGGAATGTGTTCAAATTGTATCTTTGAAGGGTTTTTTATGTTTTCAGACAATAGTAACAGCTTTTTTACTGACCTAAAAGTCTGCAGTAGGGGCAGTAGCAACTGAAGAAAAAGAAGAAAGAGAAAGAGAAAGAGAAAGAGAAAGAGAAAGAGAAAAAGAAAAAGAAAAAGAAAAAGAAAAAGAAAAAGAAGGAAAAAGAGGAGAAGAAGAAGAAAAGCCAAAATAATAAAGAATAAGAAGGTAAAGCGGAAAAAATTGAAAAAAAACTGAAACTTCTCCACCAATAAATCCAAATAAAAAAAAAAAATCCATTTTTTTTAATATAACAGAGGGAAAAGCAAATATACGCCGGCAATAAGTTGAAATGTTAACTGCTCAAATCGGTGGAGCCAATATTTTTCCTTCTCTAAAAAGATAACAAAAAAAAAAAAAAACCGAGACTTTTAATTTCCCAATCTACCCCCCCCCCCC